GACCTGCTGTCCTGTTCCCTCTCTTGGCTGACCCTGTGTTTCCACAAAAATTTTTTCTTGCTTTTGCCTAGGACAATTTACTTTGCTGTATTAAATGCGATGCTTTTAGTTGGAAGTCTGTGACAGCCAGTGAATGGCACAGTTTCACTACAGCTAAATGTTGCCAATGTGGGCTTTCACTGCAAGCAAGCTGGTGTTCTTTTTTAAACTTGCAATAGTATGTTCATGTGAAATGATTTGTTGTGCCAAAATTATGAAGGCGACACTTAGCACAGTCCTGGGCACAATGAGATCTGAAAGGCAAGCTAGTAAAGCACACATTTTGAGGAATCCATGGAATATTTTCTGTGCTTTTTACCACTTGGAATCCTTCTGCAAAGTGTTGTATTCAGTCTTGAGTGAGAAGGAAAGAAAGGAAATCAGGAGCCCCATCAAAGAGAAGAAAGAAGTCAGAATGACAAAGCAGACAAGGACAGATCCTGGGGGAAGACAGGTATACTCATTAATTGTATTTACATTTCAAAGACGAGTTAACTGCAGTGTTCTCAATCATACCCTACACTCTGGTTCCCTGCTACGCACCATGAATAATAAATGCACTTTGGAGGATAGAGTAAGTGACCCAATAGGCTTCTTCTACTTTTAATTTCATGGGTGATGTTAATTTGAGAGGTCAGTACAAATGCCTATGGTAAGTGACAATTTTAGGCCAGTAATTACTAATTAAGACAAAAGGCAAGATGCTGGCTAAGGCACTTTCAAATAGATCACAGATAACCTTGCAGGAGCTGATTAACTCAAACAGAACACCTCCTTAGGTGATAGGTACCAAATGATACTTGGAACAATTTTTAAAATTAAAAGGGATGAGGGAGAAGGATTTATGAAATTCTTGGCTGAGTTTTCTCTGGAGAAAGAATTTTGATAATAAGTGGGATTAGCTGTTTGCCAATTAGCAGACAATTAGAAGAAAGACATTTACCCAGTGGGCAAAAAATCTCTTATGATAGACTCGCACTCATCAAACCTGTTTACGCCAAAGGAGGATAAACACTGACATGCTCACAGTGTCTTAGCTCTATATAGCGATGTGAGCAGCACTGGCTGCAGCTACCGTGCCAACTTCACGTGGGCTGCCTGGGACTCGATGTGACAGTGCTTAACACGGCAAACACTGAACAGAGGACCCCAGGCTGTGCTTGTGGATCCCGGGATGGCTGTGGATGACTTCCAAGAGGTCCACGACGGAAATTAGGAGCAGCACACCAACTGTCTGTGGAGAAAATTGAGAAATCTCTGATACTGGGGAATTTTTAGGGACCTGCAAATCAGAAAAAGCGAGAAGACATTGGGTTTATTAATATTAGTATCTGTAAAGGTGATCATCATTGGTAGATCAGAGAGAGTGTCAGATATTGGAAGCTTTTCTGAAAGTGTCCGTTGGACCATATGGTCGAATGACCATAAATTCAGAGTGGCAGATGCTGTAAAGAAGAGCTGAGCTAGGCTACTGCTTTTTGTCTTTTTCATTTTTTTTCCCCAGTTTAACAATGAATTTTTCCACATGGTTCTTAGAAAATAAGGATATGTAGGCAGCACTGCTTGGCTAAAAGGCAGGGTGGGGGAAGAGTCTGTCCAATTTTGCTTTTGTTCGTGCTCCTCTTTTCCATCCTCAGAACTTAAATGATTCCTACATACTTCCACAAGCCATGGAAAGAGATGAGTAGGTGCAGAACATGAGCCCTCTAATCCAAACAGTTTCTCAAGGTGTATTTCATTATTTGTCCTCTAAAGGGGCTATTTCTTGCCATTAACTCCACAGGCAATATGGAGCACAAAGCTAGACTTACAGCTCTGCATTCTAGATGCCTAAAGGGGACCAGAAAAATTGTATCTTTCTATTCTGTTGTGGTTCAACCCCAGTCAGCAACTAAGAACCACGCAGCTGCTCACTCAGCCCTGCCCCCCCACCCTCCCAGGTGGGATGGGGGAAAGAATTGGGAAAAAAAAAGTAAAACCCATGGGCTGAGATCAAGACAGTTTAATACGACAGCAGAAGAAGAGAAAATAATAATAATAATAATGATAATGATAATGATAAAAGAATATGCAATGCAAGTGATGTTCTGTTCAACTACACACCACCCACTGACCATTGCCCATCCCATCCCCGAGGAGTGATTGCTGTCCCCTGGCCAGCTCCCCCCAGTTTATATACTGAGCATGACGTCCTACGGTATAGAACAGCCCTTTGGCCACTCTGGGTCAGCTGCCCTGGCTGTGCCCCCTCCAAGCTTCTGGTGCACCTGGCAGAGCATGGGAAGCTGAAAAGTCCTTGACTTAGTATAAGCACTACTTAGCAACAACTAAAACATCAGTGTGTTACCAACATTATTCTCATACTAAATCCAAAACACAGCACTATACCAGCTACTAGGAAGAAAATTAACGCTATCCCAGCCAAAATCAGGATATATTCAAAAATCCAGCTCAGAAAAGCAGAGAGCTCAAGAGGAAAACAAATTAGGACGAAGCATGGCTCAGCAGTGCAGAGCATTTCCCTGCTGTATCCCTTGGTGCAAGGTAGTGCCTACCCTGACGACTACAAATGCAGACTGTGAGGTAGAAATGAAAGAATGAGCTCAGTCCTGGTTTTGTTACTGGCAGCCAGATCAAAACAGGAATTTCAAACAGAGCTTCTGGCTTTCTAACATTTGTGACATGCATAAATGTGAGGAAGTATTAATACATGATGCTTCCACCCAAATCCATGTTTTTACTTTCTTTCCCTGCACAGCCAGGGCCTCATCCTGTGGCAGCTTCATTTGCTAGAGGCTGAATTTGCTCTGATCTCAGGAAGCACTCAGCGCCCTCCAGGGCCAACCATCATGAGTGGAAGCCATCCTGCATGGATGCAGGTCTAACCCATGCCTTAGGCAGCACTTCGCTACACAAGAAGTGGGCCTTCGCTGTTTGTTTCATTCCAAACAAGGACATTAACTCTTTGTTGAAGGGGAGGGTTGCTTTTAGAGCTGCTGGCAGTTGTCCAGAGATTAAAATTCCTTCCAGTTAGGCTAGTACTGTCCCAGTGACATGGATCTTGTTTGGGAGAAATCTAGTGGCGACTCATTGCACCCCAGGGAAGAACTGGAGATGATGAGCACCTTCCGTTCAGGGAATGCTGGAGCAGGCTAAACCCTTCCAAGAGGACCAGTCAGGTTCATTTAAAATACCTGTGCTTGTTTCCAGAAAAACTAAACATCAGGTGTGCTTAAGGGCAAGGAGTGGCAGCTATGATCAAAGGCATTTTTCTGGTGTGTTGTGTGGGTTAACAGCCCATTGAAGGGTAGGAGCAGACATGAGGGAGAGGTTCAGAGCTGCAACGTGCTGCAGCTGCTTAGTGCAACCTGAAGCTGCACTGAAAAACAGGGAGATGCTGTCAAGTCCTTCTGGCAATGGAAAAAAGTGTACGAAATGAAGGGAACAGTGTCGTCAGAGCTGAATGGCAACAACATTTTGTGACTGAAAATTATTTTCTTCACTTGCACAACGATACTAACATTTAGGGGAAAAAAAGGAGCACTGCGGAGGCAGTCATTACAGATGGAGGAGACTGATTAGTCCCTGTAGCTTTTCCACCTGAAAATACAAGATGTACTATGATACCACTGATGTGAACTCCATGGGAGGAAGTAAAGGAAATGTGACTACAGATATTATATCCAAATTGAATTAAAGCTGCATTAAAAAACTCAGACTGCTGCACAGTTCCATGCTACGTTTGAAAACATGATAGGCATCTGTTACTGACAGACACGTAAAGAACATGCAGGGGCTTATTTCTCAGAAAACGAGTTTGATCTCTGACTTGCTGATTCACAAGTCCACAGAAACAAAGGCAGGAAGTAAAATTACAGACCAACCTCCCCAGCACGTAAATAATCACCAGCAAAGCAGCCGTGCTGCTTGGGATTTTTGTTTGGTTTTCTTCCAAATATTTACTCTACATTGCAACCTTAAGCAAACTTAATTACCTTAGTTTCTTTATCTATAAACATCGGATAATGAATCTGATCTTCTTTGCAAAAGGCAGATCTGTAGATAAAAGCATTAGTATTGCATGCTGATGTTAATAAGTATTTTCTCAGTTGACTAGCGGTCACTGGAACACTTTTCTGTGCTATGCTCATTCACTGTACAGATTTAAATGAGATATGAAATCCTTCTGACTCCTCCTAGTTTTGCTGACAAGGAGAAAGAGCAATCCAGGCTTAGAGCATACATGTCAAGCTCACTTTTAAAACTGTTTTTGGGGGGGGGTTCATGTAGTGGCATAGAGGCAAATATCTCTCTGCTTTCTTGGCTGTGACTGTTACAATGCAATGAAAAAGATCTCTAGACTATGACAATGTCATGAGTTACTGCCTCTGCCATGGGGGCTCTATACACCTAGTTATTCTCATAAAAGACTGTCTGTCTCGTATGACTAGAAGTATCACATAGGCTGACAAAGAGAACTGTAGTAAAATAGTGCATCTTTCAATTACTTCCCATGTTATGTTACATCAAGTGGCAGAGTACAATAAATTTTAATATAAAAAGTTGACATTTTAGTAATAAATGAATAACAAAGACTTTTAATGCACATGTAAAAAATAATCCAGCAATCACCTTCCAACTGTATTTTACCTCTTTTCAAGCAACAAAACACAGCTGGCAGCTGTTTATTAAAAGGGATCAGTGTGCTAAAATGTGCTTAGTCTGAAATAATAACTCTAGAAAAAAATTTCAATAGAGATGTATTTTAAGAACAAAATCAAAGAAAACAAAGTCACAGAACCTGAGAATCTCAAAGCACTCTTGTCCTCATACGTCCTCCTCTCCCCCAAAACACACCCAAGGCTACAAAAAGCTTCAGGAAAGATTTTCAAAGGCGCTGAGCTTTCAAAAGGAAGAAAGCCCCGAAGTAGTCTCTCTGCATTTCAATAAGGAAATTTCCCCTATATCTTCCACACTTCAGTCTTCTTTGCGATCACACACCAATTGGCATGGTCAAAGTATGAGTGAGTAACATGTAGCTCAGGAATGTGACGCTCTATCAGCTCAGCCAACTCCCCTTCTTTAAAAACGTGGTAGTACCTCAAGCATGCCCCACCAGGACCCGTCTGCTGTCTTCTCTGCATGGTCAAGGCATGCTCATTGACTGCCTTCTGCAGAGAAGAGCCTGTTCTCCTTTTGTTCTGAGGTTGGCAGAAAGCTCCTTGTTTTGGGTGATGGTCTATTTTAAGTTGTTGCCTGACAGCTAATTCTTTCTGATGTGAAATCAGGTCAGGTCAACAGACTCCGCTGCAACCGTGAATAGTATCTGCAGCTATAGGGAGCTGTATAGTTGCTTGCCCTAATTCTGAATAGCAACTTCTGAAAGCCTTTGAGCGGCGTGACATGGGCAGCACAGGTTTAACAGCCACTTCAAAAGACGTTGTATTTTCAAAACTCTGTTTGCAGTGTAGAAAAAAGTTGGAAGCGCATTTCAGAAAGCCACACTCTCTGTTTTTTTCAACTTTTTTTTCTCTCTTTAATTCATTCAGCTGAACACTGTAATTGCAGTATCTAATGAGCTCTTCTTGGTGCCACTGATCACCCATATCTAATACCGAGGCAAGTGATCTTGAGAACAGAGACCTTCTCAGAGATTTCTCTAACACCGTGCATGGCACTTTGTTCTCCCCTCCACAGGATGAGCTCCTTGCTGTCCTGTGTACCTCTGAAGTCCCATCTGACTTACGACCGGGCTGGTTCAAAGCCAGCTCTTTGTCCTTGTGAAGAATTGATTTTTGTACTCCACATGAGCAAGGCTCACCCGAGGAGCGGGAAGGGGGTGAAGGATTCCAAGGAACAAAGACGTCTTGCTTTTCAAATCTTCTCCGTTTTTGCTCCATTGCCCACACATATATCATTATCTGGCCTCCTACTCTCAAGATGCGAGCCATCTCTTTTATTGCTCGCATGCGCCTCTCTTCTGTTGAAAAATGGTGAATCACTAGAACAGAACAGATAAGGTGAGTAAGTATCCCTCCAGGCACTAATGAATACAGAGTATAAGGACAAGGACTGGCTCTGACACACTGGCAGCCGGTGGTTTGCACCACAGGAATACATCATTTATCTTCCATTGTGCTCCGCATTATTGTACTATCTATCTCTAACGTGAAAAGAGTTCATAACACACTGACTTATTTTAAAAACACAGCAGAATTTAGAAACATTGAAACAAGTGACCTCTCTCAGATCAGCAATAAACAACACAACAGTCTTGTTTCCTCGATGAAAGGCTACCACTTCGTCAGTGGCAAAGCAACCTGGCCCTTTTTTACCCTCACCTAATGCTCCTCTGCAGCCTGAAAGAAGCACTTCTGAAAGACCAAGGCCATACATGGTCCTTGCAACAGCTGTGCTAGTGATCCTGCTGACGATACCCATTAAAATGGACTATGTTAAAACTGCCGGCCCATTTCTCCTCCTTTATTGACAGACACCAGTAACAGAACAGGAAAAAATGAACCGTCGCTATCAGCCTGGGATGCATTTAAATCATCAACATATGGGTGAAAGACAGGTCAATTAGCATTTGTCTACGTCTGCCATTAAGAAGCATATATCCGGAAAACAAATAATTAGATAATCCCACTGTTGCTTGATAACCCCCCACATCACACAAACACACGTGACATGGAGAACGCTTCATCGTTACGATGGCGAAACTCAAGCAGCACAGCTTTGCTTGAGTCAGAACTGAGTTTAAATTTGATTCTCATTTCAATAAAAATTTTTGCCCCCCAAAACCAATTGAGGTCTCCAAATTTGGCAGGAATTTGCCGAACAGCAGCTCTGCAGGTTGGCTCCTGCTCTCAGACTGTGCAGCTCCAGAGCAAGACGTCAAGGTTGATCAGGTCTTGGTGCACAGCAGGGACTTCAGCAAAGTTTCAGCTACATCAAATGAATGTTACATGAGAAATAAGAATAGGAAATGAAAAGCAATAGAATTAGTGATATTTATCCAACCTTACATTTTCCCCAGTGAAAATGCCTGTGCCAGTTTGGGCAGATATTTCTACACATACCACTTCAGGTTACAATGATAAACCAGTTTTTGGTTAAGCTGTTGAGGTGCTGGTTTCCACAGAAAAATAACAGGTCTTTCAAGGAAAAAAAAAAAAAGGTGCAAGCTTTCGATGTAAGTATAGAAAATGCTAGCAGAAGCTCTGTATCTGCAGTCTCTCTGTGTCAGGGCAGCCATTCACCATCAGATCCATTTTGCCTCAGAAAAAGAGACACTTTACAATTAAAAGAATAACAGCATGCAATCCAGCTGCGATAGGAAAACACTCTCCCTGCAATGAATGATGCATTCAGAGCCTCAGAGGCAATGTGAGGATCAAAAGGCACGCTTTGAAGAAATAGAGTCTTTTAACATTTAGTTGTTCAGCTGCTCTGCCTGTAGGTTTCACTTGTTTGAGATGAACAGAAATCAATTCCAAAAGCGCAGGTCTTCTAGCATTAGTTGAGACGTTGACATTGAAACATTATGGCTTTTTTAATTAAAAAGTCATCAAGTATTATTTAAGAAATTACAGCATATTAATAAAATCTGATGGTGAGCAAAACTTTAGTGTTGTCAAGATAAATTTGTTGGATAACTTTAAAAGCTATGGGTGATGTACTCCATTTAAAAATGCAAAACTCAAGGAAACAGAGCATCTGTGTGGGGCAACATCACACTATCCTGAAATCACAGATTATCACGTGACTTATTGCACATGGTTGTTTTTAATCAAAGCCAAACCTGTCAGGCTCCAAGATCACCATGCAGCCACGTTCACCTAAAGCAGGTGGCTTATATAAAGTAACTTATTTCTTTTCCTTGACATTAAATTCCTTGTATGTTGAAACTGTTTAAACTGAACAATCCATATCGTGCAGTAAAGGTGCTGTTTCAGAGATGGAGCGGCTCATGGGCCTGATTGCAGCCCAGCAGCAACATGAGCCTGCTTCCCTCCCCTCCGGTGGAAGTGGTTCAGATCTGCTTCTCCTGCAACTCCTCTCATACCGACAAGTAGATGGCACTGGGGGCTATATTTCATAGAATTATAGGATGGTTTGGGTGGTTCAAAGATCATCTAGTCCAACCTCCCTGCCACAGGCAGGGACATCTTCTTCCACTAGAGCAGGTTTGGTCAAAACCCCGCCCAACCTGGCCTTGAACACTTCCAATGATGGGGCATCCATAACTTCTCTGGGCAACCTGTTCCAGTGCCTCACCACCCTGATCGTAAAAGATTTCTTCCTAATATCTAATCTAAATCTACCTTCTTTCAGTTTAAAACCGTTGCCCCTGTTCTGTCACTACAGGCCCTGGTAAAAAGTCTCTCTCCATCTTTCTTACAAGCCCCCTTTAAGCATTGAAAGACCGCAATAAGGTCTCCCTGGAGTCTTTCAGTGCTACACCCCTACAACAATCTTTTACCAGCTGTTCAACATATTTTAAGGTGATTTCCCACCATTCAAACACAATAAAACAAGGGTCCAGATGCTTGAAAGTACATTTGTCATAATGACTGGTACTTTAAATGAAAATTAGTTTTGTCCTAAATTACAATAAATACAGAAGCTTGCAGGTGGTGAACACAATATCAGGGCAGAGGAAACTCATCCTGGGTCAGAGCAAATATCCCTCCAGGGTGGGGCTGTGGCAGCAGTCAGCACCAGATGTTTGGGAAAGAAAGAAGGGAAAAATAGTGATGCTCTCTCCCTGTGCCTCCTACAGTCCGCAGCCTAAGAGCTTCCCCAGTCACAGACCAGAGCTTGTATCTAATAGCCAGTGATGGGTCTGGCCTCCATGGATACTTTCTTGGACTCACTTGTACTTCTGATTACAGAAATTCATATGTCAAAGGAATCTGCAATTTAATTACATGTTTTTTAGAAAAATGGTTACTTCTGTTTTAAATCTTTCCCTTTGGTTCTCCTGTTGTAAGAAACCACAGAAATGTACTCTCTATTCACTAATTTAGTACAATTTGTAGGTTCCAGGATGCTATCTCCCTCTCCTTCAGGAGCAGTATGATGTATACACTTCTTTTATGATACTTTTATGATGATATTCTTTTTCCTTAGGTGAAGAGCCTTAGCCCATTAATCTATCCTCATACACAAACAGTCTGTACCTTTGATCATTATAAAGACCTTTACTAGTTCATCTATACCCTTCCAGAGATGGAAGAAACCTGAATTTCATGCAGTATTCAAGATATGGATGCACCAGGTATCTATCTTCTACCATTATTCTGGATTTTCATTTTTGGTTTTAATATTTGAATACTTTTTGGACCAGGTTTGAACACTGAGCAAATATTTTTCAGGGCAATGAAAACGAGTCTGACAATGACTTCAGTATCTCTTTCCTGAACAAGAATAGAGGGTACCACTGTGCCTGTACACTTACTTTTTTTTTTTCTGTGTACATTACCTAGCATTTATCCACAAGCACTTTTCTGCTATTTTGCAGTCATTAGTTTCACAAGACTTTTTCTGCAGCTCTTTGCAGTCAGTAATCCTGAGTAACTCTATGTCACCAGCAAACTTTATCACTAGCCTATTCATTCCATTTATAATTATAAATGACATAGGAATCTGTTGAACAGCGGCCTCTTTATAGGTGCCATACACCTACACTAAGCATTGAACATTGAGTCTTTCAGCACTTTCCACACTCGTCTGCTAGCATTTTACCTTTCTGGCTTTCACTTTCAATTTTTCTTAAGAGTTTCTTCCTTTTTGGTAGTAAACTTTTATGCAGTGGATTTTTTTAAAGCATTTTTCTTCCTAGGAGGAGGTTCGATTACGGTCACATTAAATTCAGTGAGAGAATGTGGTTCTTGCACAATTACTTATTGATGTGGGCCTGATGCACCATGTCAGACTAATAAGAGTTGTTTCTCTTTTGTGGGTTCTCAGATTAATCTTTACAAGAGGCTTTGTGCCCCTGTGTATCATTTACACAACCTACATATGGATAATTGCGGTTTCTCAATATTGTGTTTTCTGCCCTCACAGCCCTCACAATCTCTCTTAATAATCTGTGGTCATTTTATCCAAGTTTATCAGAGAGTTAGTGATACATCCTTATTATTACACTGCTCTCCTCTGTAGCTGTCTACCTACTATCGTTTCTTCCAGAAGTTTATCCTCATGCTTTTTCCCACAGAAGAATATTCAGAGCTTTTTAGCTGTTACGCAACTCTTGCAATAAAAGCTAGAAAAAACCCTTAAGTTCACTACAAAAAGGGCTTTAATGAACATTATATCATTATCATACTAATCAACACCATGCCATGGTGATGGGGACAAGTAGGACCACATTCAATTTTTAAACATCCAAACAAAACATTAAACAAAACAAAACAACTAAACATTGCAAAACAATTAAACATTGCAAAAAAAGAAAACTAAGCACAAAAAAGAAAACTAAGCACAAAAATAGTTGTTTGGGGTCAGCACAGGTGCTTGTCCAAAACCCATGACAGCTCTTTGCAGGAGCAAGGGCTTGCTTCATAGATTAGCAGTTGTTATAAATCAAGCATTCCTTTTTGTTTTGGCCATACATTCCCCTAGCGTACCTAAAAGTCAATCCAAATTAATTTTGTGCCATGTACTGCTCATTCCCACCACTTTCCCACCACTTTCGTTTAAATTGAAGACTGAAAGATTTTCCATAACTGAAAAGGACATAATGCAATTTTAGATTTCATACGGAGGGGGCAAGGAGGAAGGGAGAACATTTCAAAGGTTCTTCTCTTATTCATTTCATAAGAATATAATTAATTGCTCCTTCTCTTAATTTAATACTGTGACTAATCCTCCTAAAAGGGATTATTTAGAACAAGCAGACAATGCAAGATACATTTTTGTGTCATTCAGCTGTCTTCGAAGAACAAAACTGAAAGCATCAACAACTTTGTCTGATTTTTTTTTTAGAATTCA